AACACCATTAATACACTCAACACTTATCACTATTTCCACTGTTTTTGGCCTAAATGTCAATTCAAGACTAATAGGAAAAGTAGTTCATATGTTCATCAGTTGAAGCATACAAATACAAAAAAGTTTAAATGTGATTTTGACAATTGTGACAAAACCTATTACACTAAGTTTTTAGTTAAATTACATAAAAATAGTGTTCATTTAAACGTGAGATATGTATGCGATTGGAGTGAATGTCGCAAACAGTTTACACGAAATGCATCATTACTTCAACACAAAAGTAGTGTTCATTTGAATGAAAAGATATTCAAATGTAATGAAGAAAATTGTGGCAAAAGTTTTGTAACAAAACTGGGACTTAAATGTCACAAACGCATACATTCGGGTGAAAAGCCATTTGTTTGCCATTTCAATGATTGTTACAAAATATTTAACCAAAAACATCATTTAAATTCCCATTTTAATAATAAACATTTGAATAGACAAATCAAATGTAAATATCTTTAATTTAAACAACATTTTTGTAATAATAATGCATTAAAACAGCATAAAATCAATGTCCATATGAAGGGAAAGCCTGTCTACCAGTGCTCGCAACCAAACTGTGGACAAGTGTTGAATAATATATCCCATTTTAATGGACACAACATTTCCGTTCATTTAAAAAAATTATTCAAATGTGATGAATAGTATTGTGAGAAAGGTTTACCCAAAAATCAAGTCTAAATAAACATCGGAAATTAATTAATAAAAAAAATGTATACAATAAATACACTAAATTTTGATAAACTATAACTATTTTTGATCAAACATTAATGAATTTAATTACTAATAATTTCAAAACAAATTTATAATTTATTTATATATGTTTACCTCAGTTTTACAAATTAATTTTTATACATTATATTTCAATTTAGTACACTATATATGAATAAAATGAAAATATAACTCAATGTATATGTATTGATAACAAATATGAACTATTTTTTTATTAAGCCAATAAAAAATAAAATTATTACAAATACTGTGCATTACTATTGTTATTTATATGTACAATACATATCCAGCACATGCATGTAGTGTAAAACTACAGCCTCTAACATTAAAACGCCAGTTCCTCACCGATAAATACGACATTCCGGACGACTGTATATTTTCGGGAAGACCCGTCCGTTTCCCATCAAATACTGGCCGCCACTGACGGACAGGGCGTGGATGTGGTGCTGAACGCACTGTCCAACGAGCGCCTGGTGTTGGCCGAGGAGGTGGTCGATCAGTACGGCCGGTGGATAGACCTGGATAACTATGACACCAATAATCTATTTGTGAGTCAAATAAGTTTTATACAAATATTATATGAAGATGTAATTTATAAATTAACTAGATTATATAACTTTTTAACCGACAAATTAGATTCACTAATTGGTCTATTCAGTTATTGACCTTTATTCTATTAAGTTAATTTTTAGGTCTTATTTGCAATAACATATATGCAGAGGGGGCACCAAGTGATACTAGTATACGTGTTTTTAACATAATATTATAACAATAATATTAAACATAATAATAATGTACCTGTAGGCAAAAAATGTAAAATTACTTTCTAAACATAGCAGTACTGTTATACAGTATGAATTGCAATAAAATAAATTACAACTACTGTATAAAAGTGTTTAATATTATTCAGCAGTTACACAGTTAGCTTGCTATTAACTAGCATATCAACGCTTTTGAAAACATTAAATTACTTATAAACAAACTAATTAAATATAGTATTTATAAAACGGGTAAAATGAGCGCGTTCATCGGTAAGTTCAAAGAGATCTCATCTAGCAACATGGTGGCGATTTTCAAGGAGCATGGTTAGTATTGTCCACAACACACACATATATAATCTGTTATTTGCATTGATTGTCAACCAATTGATTGTAATATTCATTCAACGACTCGAAGGTAAGTCCGACGACGAGGCAAATAGTAAGGCCTCACGGAGTAAGGCACTCGAGTTCAGCGAAAAGGACACTATCTATACGATTAAATCGCACCGGGGTCACTTTGCTACCGTCAATCAGTTCCAGTTGGGCAAGGGGTTCGACCTTAGCTTACCCAATGGCACTACTATCAAGGTATGATCATCAAGCACTATCATTGAGCGCTACATTAATGTTATTTAAATATGAATACAATATAATATATTATTATGATTTGTTTGATGACTTCGTAGGCACTGGTGGTGGCGGTGGACGACAATAAACTCGTGCTGACAATGGCTGACAATAAAGAGACACGAGTTGTGTACGAGATTGTGGGCAATGAGCTCCGGGTGACCACTACTGCGGGGCCAGTAGTTGGCGTTATGACATACGCTCGCCAATAGACTACTGTACTCTCATTGGGAATCTATATAATTGTTTTGTCTCTTAAAGTTTGCCAAGATTCAATTGTGAATTCAATTGTTAAAATAAATAGTTCATTATTTATTGGTAATAATTTTTAGATATTTTATGTATTTAAAAGTTAGATTAATCATTTAATGGTATCTATTTTAATGCATTTATTAAATAATTAAATTAGATACTTTAATTCGACCCGGTGGCAGACCTAACCTATAGGTGGATTACTTATTACATTAAAGTAAAACAAAATAGACGTACAGCACAATTATACAAACCAAAGTAATATATTAAACACAAAAATGTAACACATAACAATTCTCAAAATATAAAATTACAGTTTGGAAAATTAAAAATTTTTCCGCTATGCTCAATTGACAAAATGCTTGTTTTTATAAAAATGTATGCCTTACCTTGAAAATGATATGTTAAAATTAAAAAAAACAATGGTCAATAAATCGTGAGTCCAAATAGTTTTACATATAAAAATGTATAACCCAAAACTATCAGTATAATATTAATTTACAGTATTCATATTTAAAAAAGCAACCTGTCCCAATCAAATCAATTCACTTCATAATTCTAATAAAACATTAAAAAGCAAATATTTAATAAAATACTAAGCTTGACTGTTAATTATTTGAAAATATTTATAATACCAAATAAATAATAATTTTTATGTAAGATTAATTAACATATTTAAATAAATAAAATATTATGAGTGAAATGAAGTGTGAATTGAAAAAACTGTCGGAATGTATGAGTTTGTGTCAAAGTTTTGAGAAAATGCAGTGTTTTTTGTCACAAAATGCAAGTGTTTTGTGTGAAGGGATTGAATGCGAAAATGCAGTGAATTTGTCAATGAATTGCAATTCAATTGATTTGAAATCGTGTAAAATAAGTGAGCATCATATAAGACATACAAATATTAAAGTGTTTCAGTGCGATTTTAATAAATGTAATAAAGTTTTTAAAAATAAAAGTGTTTTAAATAAACACAAAAATAGTGTTCATTTAAACGTGAGATATGTATGCGATTGGAGTGAATGTCGCAAACAGTTTATACGAAAATCACATTTACTTCAACACAAAAGTGCTGTTCATTTGAATGAAAAGACATTTCAATGTAATGAAGAAAATTGTGGCAAAAGATTCAGTAGAAATTCACATCTAATTCAACACAAACGCATACATTCGGGTGAAAAACCATTTGTTTGTCATTTCAATGATTGTAAGAAAGCGTTTACCCAAAAAACTCAATTAAATAGGCATTTAAAGAGGAAATTCAAATGTAGATATAATAAATGTAATGAATATTATTCAGACAATAATGCATTAAAACAGCACATAATAGGTGTTCACATGAAGGGAAACCTTGTCTACCAGTGCTCGCAACCAAACTGTCGCCATTTGTTTAAACATCAATACAATTTGAATCGACACATCAAATCCGTGCACTTAAAGCAAAAACTATTCAAATGTGATGACAGTATTGCGACAAAAGATGTGCCACTAAATCAGATCTCAAAAAACACCAGAAATTAATGCATAAGAAATGAGTACAAGAAATAAAAGTAACTTTAAAAGCCATTATTAAAGCATTTATTAATTTTATTACTATATTCCTTTACGCATACTGTAATGTTAACATACAATTAAAATTTAAATATAAACAAAACTTTATTGAACACAATTTATTTGTATGCATTCAATAAAAATAAAATAAATTTAAATATTGTCAATTAGTTTAACTGGTCATCCCTTTACCAACAAAGCATATCCAATACTGGTATGTCGTGTGCTCTAACGCCAGTTCCTCACCGATAAGTACGACATTTCGGACGACTGTATATTTTCCGTGAACGACCCGTCCGTTTCCCATCAAATACTGGTCGCCACTGACGGACAGGGCGTGGATGTGGTGCTGAGCGCACTGTCCAATCAGCGCCTGGTGTTGACCGAGGAGGTGGTGGGCCAATACGGCCGGTGGATAGACCTGGATAACTATGACAGCAATAGCCGGGGTGTGAATCAAATGAGTTTTAGATAAACATTATTTTAGGCTGTAATTTACAAGTTAACTAGATTAAATAACTTTTTAACCTGTAAATTAGATACACTAATTGGCCTGGCAAAGCTTTTTACATATATTATGCCAAGTTCATTTTAAATTTTATTTGTAATATATGCAATGATTTTGATGTTTATACATTCGTATACTTTAAACTACTTGCAAGTAATCAGATTCTACCTGTATAAATAGTATTTTTCTTAATTAACATTATGTTAAATTATAACTTATTATTAATTCACTAGGTTTTCACGTAATAATATATTTCACATAATTTTTAAATTACAGTTTTATATAATTAAAAATTCCATTTCCACAATCCATGGACATATAAACCTACATCATAGTAATCAAAACCACTACCAGTCCCATCCATTTCCATCAGATCTGATTAACTGATTACGACAGGAGCCTAGAGTTAACTCACTCTCTAAACAGAAATCATTTTATATCTAAACAACGGGTAAAAAAATTAGTCCGTTTTGTTTGTTTTCATAAAATCCTATCTCTGGCCTTAATCTCATATTTTGAAAAGTAAACAAGGATAAATATGGTTAAATGGGATTTGCATTAATTGTATGTGATTTGAGACAAACATGTGGTCAACACCTGTTCACAAGAGTTCGCATTTAACACACAGTTTCTCAACACTTATTGTCAATGTATTAACCGATCAAATGAATTGAGTTATAAATTGTGATTCAAATTAATTTATTAACATTAAATAACTTAGCATTTAATCAATAAAAAATATATTATGAGCGAAATGAAGTGTGAATTGAAAAAACTATTGAAATGTATGAGTTTGTGTCAAAGTTTAGACAAAATGCAGTGTTTTTTGTCACAAAATGCAAGTGTTTTTATGAGTGATGACCGCATAAATAAATGCATTGAAATTAAATTTTGAATTCATGTAAAATAAGTGATAAAATGCTTTCCAATAACAACACCATTAATACGCTCAACACTTATCACTGTTTTTGGCCTAAATGTCATTACAAGACTAATTATAAAAGAGATTTAACTAAACATCAATTCAAACATTCAAATACAAAACAATTTAAATGTTATTTTTTAAATTGTAATAAAGTTTTCAAACATAAGTCAAACCTTAAAACTCATACAAATAATGTTCATTTAAACGTGAGATATGTATGCGATTGGAGTGAATGTCGCAAACAGTTTACAACAAAAGCATATTTAAATCAACACAAAAGTGCTGTTCATTTGAATGAAAATAAATTTAAATGTTTCGAACAAAATTGTGGCAAAAGTTTTACATTCAAAACAAATCTAATAAAACACAAAAATACACATTCGGAAGGAAAACCATTTATTTGTGACTTCAATGTTTGTCACAAACGGTTTACTTCCAAACACTCATTACTTCAACACATAAGTAGTATTCATTTGAATGAAAGAAGATTCAAATGTAATGAAGAAAATTGTGGCAAAAGGTTTACCCAAAAACCACACCTCAATCGACACAAACGCATACATTGGAGGGTAACTTAAAAGCCATTTGTTTGTCATTTCATTGATTGTCACAGCTACAGCTATTATAATATTTGAACACAAAATCCACATTTTATATATCTTTAGTAATATTTAAGAAATTTATAACTTTAATTTATGATTTGACTATATTAATTTCTAATAATAAAAATAATGCTTTTTACATATATTTATACTTTTATTTCACTACTGACATAATATTTAATATATTATATTATATAATAGTTAGAAACAATAATATATTTTTTATGTATCCTAATTATTTACGTGAATTACATAACAATATATATTTATAATGATTCAATAAACTTTATAGTGTAACGACTATTATTTTTATTTAGTATAATAAAGTTTATACAAATACTAATCAACAATTATTAGCAAGCAGTTTTAATTTCAATGCATTTATTTATGCGGTCATCACTCATAAAAACATAACATTACATTCAAATACAATTCAAAATATAACTTTTATTATTTAATATGTCATACAGTACACAATCATCTGTTATTATATTACATAAAACTAATCGTGCAACTATTTATATTGACTAGCCCTCAAAATAGGGGTACTCGGCATGGGTTCTCAAAAAGAACTTGGTGCCCTCAGTTTTGGTTTTGTACGAGCTCAGTTTAATGGCATCCTCGCCCAGGGTGCCCGACAGGGCGGCGTCCACTGCCGCACACTTGCCGGCCTTATAGTCGTCATACGAGGCGCACTGGAGGGCCACCCCCTTGGGGTTCTCCGCTTTCAAACTGGACATATAGAACTCTACGGCCCGTAAATGGTTGCACGGTATGGGTAGGAGTGCACAACCCGGCTGATTATGGCCGCCATTGGGGTAGAAGTCCACGTGACCCGAGTTCTCGTGGATACCAAAACCGATGATTAGGGGGTCGGCGTCCGAGTGAATGGAGTCTACGAATACGGCCTATCAATATAAACAGGGATATAATTTTTAAAATAATTAATCATGGTCCATAATTAATAATGAGTTTTAAGGGTCATTCAATACGTGCGTTACGCTTGTTATGGGTGTAAGGGGTGGGAAATATGCATGCGTGTATAATGTTAAATTTATTTGTATTAGGCTTACGTTTTGCGTACGTACTCATTGAATTGCCCCCGTATTACTATAATACTTACATCGGTTGGCTTAAGTTTTTGTGTGGCTCCATCAAAAAGGGGTCCTAAAAAACAAACACTTATAATTAACAATTTTTAATAATAGTTTAGTTTATGCGCGTACCAGCCGGGTCCAAACCGGTAATCCTAGCCACCTGTCCCTTCAGGTCCTCACCGGCAAAACCAGCGGCGTGTGCGCCCAATGAGTGGCCCAGTATGTGGACGTCACTCAGTTTTAGACCTTTCAGTTCCTGGTAATAGTTGCGAAAAATAATTTAATACTATAATTTTATTTACAAATACAAACCTGTAGGTCCTTGATCATATTTGCCACCACTTGTCCCGTAACATGAGTATTGCGCGCGGCCTATAGGGGTAATAATTTGGGTTAATAAATTTACCAGCTTGGATTTAAATAATATGTATATAATACAACAATTATATTAAATAAATTTATATTTCTGATAAATATCTGTTAATGTTAAAAACAAGTTAAAATGTGCTACATAAGTTTAAAATTATCACACATTCAACTCTGCTTTCATAATATATTACACAGGTATTACAGTTGTATAAACATATTTTAAAAAAATTTAAATTGCGAGTTTTATTTTGTATTACTCGTATACAAAATAAGTTTATAAACTAACCTGATCGTAAAGGCCGTGATTGCCCGCAAACCAATCGACAATGATCACGTTATACTCGCCATTAGCCAGGTACTCGTCCTTCATCACCTTCATCCATGGGTCCAATTCGGGCATATCTACGTAGCCGTGAATGATGAACTTGGTCGGTTTAGTGGCATCGAAATGCGAGTCCTGAATAGCCTGGTGATCGCCCTCAATCATCACGTGCTCGACCAGTTTGTTTTGCGGGGTAAACAACAGGAACCTG